AACCTAGTCCGAGTAGCTTTGTTTGATTCTCATTGAATAAAAATCTGTTTAGATTTTGAAAACAACACAACTGCATCGGAATGAGAAAGTTTTTGCCTTCCACACTAGTGAACGAAAGTTGTTGCACTACGCAGAGGTTTTTCTCCTCATTTCAGCACCGCTCCTCGATGGCTCGAGTAGTTGAGGTTTCATATGCGAGCTTATTTTTGAAGCTGTGAACAGAGCTTGTTGTGGCGGTTCAGTAGCGGTTTTGTAGATTGCAGACGAGACGAATAGTCCCACCGTTTATCTTGGTTATACAAGCACAGGGTTTGGCTACGCCCACGCCTCGAAGTTGGATGCGGGGATTAGGGGGAGAGGGTCATGGCCATCGTGGCGATGACGGAGCTGAGTTTGGATCTCGTACTACTGTATTTTGTTCAAAAAAAAAAAAAACTATGCATGTCATCAGTATCGCGGGAAACCAACAGGAGGCAAGCAGGCACTGATAAACACAAGACAAGGAGGCTATACTGTTATCAGAACCATGTCTAAGAATGTGGCTAATTGCAACCACTACTTGAACATGGAAAGAAGCAGGGCATTAATCACAGCATCTTCTTTTTCATTAATCATAATCAACGCATTTCAAGCATTCAAGCAAATCAGGCATTGCTGACTCGCCGAAGGAGAAAAATGCCAAAACTATTTTGTTGTACCATTTTAATCAACTTCGCGAAATTCGTGACACTTCCATCTGGAATGCTTCAACAAGATGCCTCAGAAATGTGTAAAGACTCCGCCGCGATGCTATGAGAACATTCTGAAGCCACACGCGACTATTTGACGAGCGCCGTTGGAACCCAATTGTACAAGTACATTTATGAATAGAAAAATGATTTATTGGAGCATCCAGCGGACCTATAGTTCTTACGAGCACTACTCCATGCAATCGTTCTAATCACATGCAATAGTTTAATCCTTTGGATATCCTTAGCATCGCAACAACTACTTCCCCAAGCGATTTCTACGCTGTTGTCGTGATACTGTGTTTGGTGTGCATCCAGATTTATTTACGGCTCATTTGGGATACGGTGTACGATTGTTCGCCTACTGAAGTTACCGTACTGTGCACAGATCTGTACTTGTTTTCTCGACAGGACATTGAGAAGCAGCGAACATGCAAAATGCCCCCTCAAACCAAAATGCGCCCTTTCTTGAAGCAAAGTTTCGCGCCAGTTCCACTGAATACTTTGGAGTATCACATTATTCTAACACATAATCGCCTAACATGAAGCCTTGGCAAACCTTCACATTGCTTCTTCAATTCCCACTCATTTTCTTCGTTATCTGTTTTTTCTCATACCTATTCATTTGTTGTTATCCATCCACTAATTGAAAGAAATTTATGGGACCAGTTTCCGCAACGTTTTTCCAACTACTTGTTGCAGTCTGAATACCTCTGAATGAAATGTGACTGAAACCAGTTTCGTGGATAAGAAAATGTCTTTCCAGTGTTATGACCACTTAACCGAACACTTCGTTTTACTACTCTTAAGAATTTGGCGGAAATGCTTTTTGAGCAGTTTACTAATTGAGTGCCAGCGGACCGAGGTTTGAAAAACAGTCCGGAAGGATTAAAAGCTTAGAGATACCCCAGTCTAAGACGTCCTGCCCTTGTAGATGAATTTTGCTGCGTGAAAATCGATAGCGTGGGTCTCTCTGCGACATGTCCGAGTTTCTCGGGGTGGCCACTAACTCGCCTCTGCCACCGATACTGTGGAACTTGTACGTTCTACGTGTAAACTGTTGACCCGCTCTCGCCTTCCCCACTTCGGCTTACCAGGCTAGATAGTTGTTCATACCAAAACGACTCGCGCCGCACACTGCACTTCGAATGGGGCTCTCTTGCCAGGTTGCTTTACGACCCCCCCTTTTGTGCGAGGAGTCTCGCGGTACGATCCCCCCCATGGCTCCTTTACGAGGCTGGATGACTGGGGCCTTTGAAGCCTACTCGTTGTAGCGTTTACTACTCGCCTTATACAAGAGCATAGCGTTCGTGAGGGCTCGGGGGGGCGTGCCCGCCTTGGGCCACGCCACTCGTACAATCCACGCGTGTAGTATCCACCAAGTGAACCAGATAACTTCCTAGGCTTGAAATACGACGCGCGCCCAGACACGCTGGCGGCCCGGCGCAGGGCTCGGCTGTGTCGTCCCGCGCACCTCCAGCGACAGCACGTGCTCTCCGGGCCGCCCCAGCCGCTCGCTCGCCAGCACAACACAGATCGCCAGCGTCCGCAAGGATGAGAAAAATCAACTAGAAAAATAAAGTCTCTCATCGCATTGCAACTACGCGACCCCCCCCCTTTGTACCTGTGTGGGCCGCGCGCCGCCCAAATACGACTGCCGTCGCATGAGCCGCTCCCAATTCAGGCGAATCCATAACGAGCAATAATTTGCTGTGCCGCCCTGCTCCTACTAACCTCAAGCGCCCGACTTCGAGCCGTCAGGCGTCGGACGGCGGGCAGCTCGACGCGCACGAAGGGCACGATGGGGTTATGCCAGTGCGGCAGCCACATTGAACATTGAGTCCGAAACAACACGCAGCAAGCCCGAAATTAGAAAAGTGGGTTGAGCAAGGAAAAATTTGTTTCCGAATCAAGTGCGCTCCCCGTGCTGCCTTTCGTCCCCTGTGGCTGCAGCATAAGAAGTATTGTATAGTGCCAGCCGCCCCCGGCGCGCGCTTAGTAGTGATCGCCGCTACGACTGAAAGCTTCTTGCATAACTCCAAGCTAAGTGTGACTTGTTCCGCAATTTGATCCCCATGCCGGGCAGGCAGAGCCTGTTCCAAAGACCGAGCCCGAGGGCGATGCTAGTTCTCCCTCTCTGGACTCACGGCCAACACCGTCAAGGTTCCGTTGCGTGTCTCATTACGACGGAACTGACCCGTTAGTTAGTTCTGGTAGACATACGGGAGATCAGTTGGTGATTCGCTATCGTCGATGCTGCTATATATTGCCGCGATGCCGTGCAAGCAGTGATAGTAAGTTGCCGTGCGAGAGGAGCGTGCTACAAGTCATTTGGGTAGTTTGATTGCCTCAGGGATCGTATTCGTTCCATAGCTTGGCCTGCGCCGATTGACTTGGTGTGCAGTTGCGCTCTAACTGCAACTCTACAGGCGTCTGTGGGCCATTGTCTACGCAGTATGCTCTGCTGGCACGTGTACTTAGCTGTTCTACTCCTCTCTCAGAAGATCTCGACAATCGGCCACAACGCGCGTCATGCGCGTGGCCCGCAGGCCAGCCTGCCGGGGCGGTTGCTTGTGGCTGGAGATGCAGAGAATGGAAGTGGCTGTGGTTCTGGATAGATGTCGCCGCCCGGCTCCCTGCTGTGACCGCCAGCGGAGATAGATAGGCGCTCGGCACTGCGCGGACCTGTGCAAGCGCGAGTGCTCGGTCGCACAGAGCACCTCGGCGGTGACCAAGGGAGGTCGTGCTTGAAGCCTACTCGTGCCGTTGGCAAGTCCGAAGTCTGATTTAATGGATCTCTCTATTAAGCATAAATTTCATACTACTATTATACTTGTGTTAGTATCCACAGAGCCGTCCATCACCGTTTTAAATGAAGAACTTGGCCCTCTCCACATTCGGGATATGGAGCACGGCTTCGGTATAGGGGTAGGGGTGAGACTCGTAACTGATTTTCGCTTCTCTCGCGCTCGATATATATTTCTCCGCGTGACAGGAAGCCTCGTTCGGAGATTTATATTATGCGGCATCATGCGTTTCGTGCGCGTTGCACTAGTGTCGACACGTGTCTAAGTACGTTGTCAAAGACAATTACTCTTCGTGCGGTCAAGAGTTCGCGCGTCAGATCCCCGCCAAAACCTGATGCGCCGCAGTCGTGAGGTTGCGCAATCGATTACGCTTGGGCGTACAGAGCCTGCGAGCAGGCTACGCGTGCTTTTTCGACGCCGCGATGCGCAGCCGTGCTATTGGTATTGGGCGGATTCCAAGGCAACTCTCGGCAGGCAGTCGAACAGAAATTTGGCCGTCGCTGCACGTCGACCCGTGCGTCTCAAGTATCGCGCGCCCGCCTGCATGGCTGTTGCTGGCGCAAACTAAGTTGCAGCTCCCCTTACACGCCCTCTCGTTGGCGCCAAGGACTATCTCGGCTGGCCCTGTAAGCCAGATCAGGAAGAGGTTGGAGCACTTTCTGAATGCCACTGCGATCTGTATGGAAGTATCTTGGCGCATCGCTGGAGGGCCTGATCTAGGTCGAATAATTTTCAGGCCCTCATTGCTAAATTGCTATTTTTCTGTAAAACTGACCTTCTAAAACGAATACTATTAAAGAATTTTTTGAAGCTCCAAGTGTTCAGAATAATTGACAGTCTTGTTCGCTGGGATGCTGGAGTTCAGGTAGTTCGGTTTGGTTCCAAGCCAGTCCTTTTTACACCAATTGTCTCTTGTCTGCTTCCATAATTGGTTGAGAACGGTTTGGCGGCGCGATGACGGGTCGTATTTGGTCGTCGGGAGAGGGGGTCGTATTTGGGCTGAGAAAAATTTATTTTGATAGTTGATTTTTCTCGCTTCACGGACGTTGTAAAAAGGGGGGGTCGTACTTGCTCATTGTTGGGAGAGGGAGGGGGGGGGGTCGTATTTACTTTCTGGCCTTCTGGGAGAGGTGGTTGACTTTTCGTGATTTTCCTGTTTCATGTGTACTATATATCCCCCTCCCCCTTCCCCGCTCGACAGCTCGATGAGGAGGGAACCAGGGGGTCGCACCAACCCCCTAAAAAAAGGGGGGGGGTCGTACGGACTCGACCAAAATCCCCAACCAATGATGTGCCCTGCCCAGCATCCGCAGCGAGCTACAACCCTAGGATGTTTCTGTTGGTCAGTTCAGTGGGATTGTTTATGTTCGACCGTTCTATTCCAAACAATTGTAGTTGGATATCGGACCATACCTGCTCTATTGATTTCAGACTGATCACGCCTTCTGGCGCAGGTTCCTGTTAGATGTCATACCCTGCTCTTGAGGGCCTTTATTCCGTACACGATGAGCTCGGATCAGGAGGTGCAGATTTTCTTACTATTGGAAATCCTTTTCGTTTTGCATCAGATTCTGTCGTATGGCTTGTACTGAAAATTCCCCTGTGCTTTTTTCTAGGTTTCGGCAAGGTCAAATTAGCAACACATTTACTAACTGGTCTCAAAGTTGCCATTAAAATTATTGACAAAAAAGCAATTGGCGTTAGTTTTCAATGTGACTTGTTTTTTTTCAATCGGTTAAGATCTTCGGATAAATTTTGTTTTGTCTTGATCTTTTCCAGGATGATCTGCCAAGAGTTACAACCGAGCTCGACGCTCTTAAAACACTATCACATCAGAATATTTGTCGGCTATATCAGTTTATTGATACTGAAGATAAATTCTTCATTATCATGGAGGTGAAATTCTTTGATACTTTTTTATTCCTATCAGAAATGGCGCTTATACTTCGCGATTTGATCGCTTGGATCGCACGAGCGCATCAACTGCGCGATCCTGGCGATCGGATCTTGAAGTATGAACGCGCTCTCAGATAGTTTCGAGAATTCTTGATTGAATTTGGCCGATTTCCAGTACTGTAGTGGAGGCGAGATGTTCGACTATATCGTACGAAAAGAGCGCCTTGAAGAATCTGAAGCTCGCCATTTTTTCCGTCAACTTGTACAGGCTATGGCGTATGTGCATTCGATGGGTTATGCTCACAGGGATCTTAAACCGGTATGAATATTAGTAATAACAAAAAGTCCAAGCTTTTATCCCTTCGGTTGGCATGGCTTTTCACAAGCTCATAACTGTTGAAATTGCCATTCCACATTCCCTCCTGAGTTCCAATTTGAAAGTCAAGTAAGCTTAGGAAGGGAAACTGCTAATATTCTTCCTCCAAGCTCAGCTTTAGGCCGCGTTCATACTTTGCGATTCGATGATTCGGGAGTTCTGGCGATTCGAGCGATTGCATGAGTGTAGGTATCGATCTAGCGATAGGGGAGAATCGGCGACTGGCCACCGTAGCTCCAAATCTCCGCAGTCACTAACGACAGGCACCGATCAGTACCCATCCGCTGCTACGGCGCGAAATTGCCCGACACGCCGAGTCGCTCAGAACGCCAGACCGCTGGTTCCCCCAGTCGTCGGATAGATGTCTATAGATTCCTCGCCGCGCAATCTGTCGAATCGCGAAGTCTCCCAGATCGCCGGATCTCGCAAAAACGCGGTTCTAAAGAGAATAGACGACCGGGTCAGCGAGGCGGCGTTCTCCTGCAGCGTACAGTCTTCTCCATTCTCACTTGGAGTTGAAACTCCCGCTTAGGATCATATTTCTGCAAGTTTCTTGCAGCTGTAGCATTTTTACCTATCTATTTTTACCTAGCATTTTTATCCAAAAGGACTATTCAGGCTCACCATCTAAGAAAACCTACCTTTAGGTGGGTTTTCTTAGATGGTGAACCTGAATAGTCTTTTTGGGTGTTCTGACCACATCGGAAATAGGATTAACAGTGCTTAGACAGTCATGAAGTACTTTTTATTATTTTGGTATTACTCGTCTTCCAGGAGAATCTGCTTTTGACAGAAGATTTGCATCTCAAAGTGATTGATTTCGGTTTATGTGCGAAACCATGTTCACTTTCACGACCGCTTGATACCTGTTGTGGTTCGCCTGCATATGCTGCTCCTGAACTTATTGCGGTTGGTTTGAGTTTACTGCGGAGTAGTCCGTTTTGTCAGATTACACTTGTACCGTGCAGCTAACATTATGAAACCTGACATCGGTTTCACAGGGTGCACAGCTTTCAAAAATCATCTGAGGAAGTATTTTTAAGGGTAAAGCATATCTTGGTAACGAGGCAGATATATGGTCAATGGGAGTGCTGCTATACACACTTCTTTGTGGTTCTCTCCCCTTTGAAGACGAGTCAATGCAACTTCTTTATCGGAAAATAGCGGTACGTTCTTTGGTTATTCAATGCGTACGACGCTAGGGATGTGGAGCGTTACTTTCAGGTCGCGGCTTCGCGCGTTCTAGCATATTATGTTCTCGCTAGGGGCTAGACGGTTACAGACGGTCTACGGACAACTTGAACTCATCCTTCTGAACGCGTCGATCTTCTCTTTTTCTCTGCACTCTCTTGTCCGCATGGCACACTCCTTGTCCGCATGGCTCACTATGGCCGTTGTGACTTCGCTCACTCCAGCTTTTCACCGACTACAACTAGCTCATCCACCCTGGAGTCCCCTCCCTTGAAAAATCCTGTTTCCTGGCTCGCCACACGTTTTTTTGCACGTGCGTTTTTTTGCACGATGCTTTGGCAGCCGCTGCCCTCTATTCGTCTGCGTCACAGGGTTTCGTAACAGGACCATGCACAAAAGTTCAAGATGTCACGTAACCGTTACAGACATAGAGAGAGCTAGTCGACTTGAGAGGAGCGGAGGCAGAGAAAGTCGACGCGTCGCAGCACTACTACGTTGAGTGAATTGGGTCCTGGTGCGAATGCAGCGTACGTCAGCTCGCTTACCATGCCTGTTTTGCCTGCACTCGCCGCGACTTGGATGTTACGCTCCTCACCCGAAGGTGGCTTACGGTGGCCAGAGACCTTCGCGTAGATGCCCCAGAACGTAGGACTACAAAGTTCCCACTATAGGTGTAGAATGTGGCTGTGTGTTCTTTCCGATCGCTTTATATGGTCCACGCTGTGCGCGCGAGTCCTCTCTCTCTCTCACTCTCTCTCTCTCTCTCTCTCTTCTCTCTCCCTTCTCTCTCTCTCTCTCTATTCGTCACATGCACTTTCAATACTGAAAACCAGTTTTGCCTCATTACGCGCGTTTTTACGGTCTCCTCTGCGCTTCTCCTCACATGAATGTAAAGCCATAGTTACTTTCTTGGGACCCACTAGCCACTACTTGCAATCGCGGGATTTGTCTTCAACCCTTTCGTTTCTTTTTTTCATGCGGAAATGACACTCATATTTCAGAGAGGGACATATCCTGAACCGGAATGGTTAAGTCCAAGCAGTCGAGCACTGTTACGCAGCATGTTACAGGTATAATTCTTAACTATACACTGATAGCTTCTTGCCCACTTATAGATCTTGCCGATTTAGGTAAATCCTCAGTATCGTATAACAGTAAAGCAGTTGCTAGATCATCCCTGGATTAACTACAAATATAGTCAAAAACTCAAATGGACCAGCATTTACGATGTAAGTTGTCCACCTTTCCTAGTACGGGTGCAGTACGGAAATGTCGCGTGGGTGGGGTCAAGAAGCGACGCTATAAGTCGTTGCGCCTTTATTCTCGTCTCCTACGGCGGTGAAAAAAGGGGAGGGGGCGTGCCAGTGATGCAGTTTCTTGACTCCGCCCATCCTTCAGACATGTTTGCTTCGTCCTATTTGGGAGAAAACTAATTATTAGTTGATGGTTTCAGAGAAATGTTGTCGATGAAGAGGTAGCAACCGAACTGGCGTTTCACCACCGGAGATCACTCGCCGAGATGATCGCTTTGATTAAGGTTTCCACCATGCAGTCTTGCACGCCGCTGACGCTGGAGCATTTTGAAGCGCTGGATTTGGCACGGCCCTAGCCCGTTCCCCACCGATTGTGGAAGCTGTTAGGCGGTTGGCGGAGAACAGACTGGCGGCGCGCCAAACTCAGCCCCCGAATGAAACTCCCCAGCGTCCGCGGCGAATAAGACTGTAGCGATTTCATTCGTTTTTCCCATTCAGTGTTTTGTGACGATATTTGCTATTACTAGCGAATAGTTGGTTGTACTCTGAGAAAGCTTTTTAGCGCTAGTTCACTTTCTTCCAATTCCAGGAGTGGAAGTTCGACTATCTCACTGCGACGTACTATCTTCTTTTGCAACAAAAGGGTCGTAAACAGAGAATCGCTCTTCCTCCTCCGAAAGCTAAGCCTGTGAGATGGAAATTCTTTATAGAGTCTTTGATTCAAGAAAC